GATATTTATGGGTCCCTCGGAACCTTTTTTTTCAAAGGTCCCTTTTTTGTTAACAAATTCGAAATTTGTTAAACAAAAGGCTGAAAAATCATGGCGCAAATGTATATTCAAACGATTCAGAGTCGTGTCAAGCGTCGCGATTTACTCTTCCCTCGGAACTTTTTTTTTAACGGGTTAATTTTTGTTAGATTCGTAATCTGTTGAACAAATTGCTGAAAAATCGTGGTGCAAATGTATACTCAAACGACTGAGAATTGTTTAAAACGTCGAGATTTATTGGTCCTGTCGAACCTTTTTTTTAATGGATTCATTTTTGTTAACAAATGCGAAAAATTGGTAAAGAAATGCCGAATTTGTTCACAGAACTGAATGCGTTAAATAAAAAGGTTCCGAGGAACCAATAACTCTCGACGTTTGAAGCGACGCTCAATCGTTAGAGTATACATATGCGAGACATTTTCTCCCCAATTTGTTTGACAATTTTTTGAATTTGTTGACAAAAGTGAACTCGTTAAAAAAAAAAGGTTCTGAGGGACCAGTAAATCTCGACGTTTCAGCTGATTCCCAATCGTTTGAGTATACATATGCGAGATATTTTTTCCCCAATTTGTTTAACAATTTTTTGAATTTATGAAAGTGACCTCATTTTTCATTCCGTCCATCGGTTATTTTTCCATCATACCCCCTCTCCGCTTTATATCGGATGTTTTCGTACGTCATGGTATCCTCGAATTATCGACTCTCTCGGGTTCACGCTCTGCCGAATTATTTACACTCTCGGGCTCGCCCTCTGCCTTATCCATATACTCATAGGCTCTGAAAATTATGCAAAAAGCAACCACGAGTTTTCTGGCCTCTTAGCTTTATATTCCGAGAATCGGGGGAATACGATGAGGGAACCGAGGGTGGGAGATCGTAGTGTCTTGCGATCGTTGTTTACTTAGTGTCCTCATCCCTTCATGCCTTCTTTGTTCTTCTCTCCTTCTCCCCCGGTTCGTTATTGCACGAGTTACTACGCAGTAGACAACACGTTAGTGTTAAGAATTTCCGGACTACTTCTTCAAAATCGCAAGACCACATCATAGAAAACAGTGTTTGTAGTGAAGTTTTCTTGCAGTCCAGACGACCTTCGAATCCTCCTTAAATCGCGGGTGAGTATCAACAATTTCCCAAAATTATTTTTCAATAATTTATGAACATTCGGGAGTGAGCAGGAGTGATCAACCAGGTTAAGTCAATTGAGTTTTTCGCCAAGTTTTCCACAAATATCTTAAAATCTGAGAAGTTTTGGAGATGTTCTGAAAAAACCTGCTACTTTTTGAAATTTAAAGATTAAAAAAAAGAAAGGTGTTTAAAAAATGAAGTAATGGCTACAACATTATCCCCAATGAGTATTTCCTGAAAAACAATTTAGATCATTTTTCAACTTCTAAAGAAGTTCTCAGAATAAATCGACAACGATTTTTGAACAATTTTATTCTACTAAAAAGTTTATTGGATTGGATTGGATAATAAATTGTTCCGACTTCAAAATAACTAATGAGTCAAAATCACAGATGTGTTTCTCCTAATTTTTTTATTAAAAATAGGAAGAGTAATAGAAATTATTCTTGAAAAATTTCATATTGGCCAGATTTATCTACAGTTCGTAATTTATTCTTTTGCAAAATAATTTTTCCAACGTGAAAACGTCAGCTGTCGGGATAGTTAATGATAATTTACCTTGATGATTTGATTAATCAATTGAAATATGTATTTCATTTTTTTCCCTATTTCTGAGGACCGGTACAACTTGAGTGTAGCTTTGGCAAGGTCTTTCTATTCCTTTCCGAGATTTTTTGCCTAGAGAAAGCCAGATGTTCGCCTAGCTGATAATTTATTTTTTCGGCTTTCTGAAGTTAAAAAAATCGTAACTGAAAATTATCAAAGAACATCCACAAATTTTCTCATGCCCTAGAAACACAAAAAAAAATATGATGCTGAATTTAGCTTTAAAACGAATAAAAAATCACTTAAAAGTACTATAACTTCGCGAAAAATGAATCGATTCAATTGTGCTTTGACTTGATGTGTTCACCGCGATAGCCTCTACAATCGCTGGTCATCCGTTTTGATGAAGATTTAAAATACAATTTTTCAAAGGCTAAACCATATTTTCCAAATACTTACCAGTCGATACCGGGCACACTATTAATGCTTTTGAAAAAAATCAAAACGAGCGTTTTTTCTACAGAAAAGTTTTAAATGGGACTTGTGCATTTTTTTCAAAATTTTTATTTTAATTACAGTACTATACATATATTTATATACAGTACTTTCGAATGCTATCATCGACTGCTTATTTCATTCTCGAAATCATACTCAAGAGGGGAAGTGAAATTTTTTTTTCAACGTTCAATTTATTTTTAATCAATATTTTAATTATATAATATAAAATTCAGTGAGATTGATGTTTCTATTATATACTAAAAAATTAATTAGAAATGAATCGAACGTTAAAAAAAAAAATAATGCACCTCCCCTCTGGAGTATGATTTGGAGAATGAAATGAGTGGTCGTTGATAGCATTCGAACGCTCCAGTCGGAGTGTAGAGATTGGCAAAGTTTTTTCACTCTCTTGGAAATTACTGTAATTAAAATACAAATTTTTAAAAAAATGCACAACTCCCGCCTTAAACTTTTCTGTAGAAAAAACCCTCGTTTTCATTTTTTTCAGAAGCATTAACAGTTTGCCCGTTAGCTACTGGTAAAGTATTTGGAAAATATGTTTTAGCCTTTGAAAAATTGTATTTTGAATCTTCATCAAAACGGATGATCAGCGATTGTAGATACCATCGCGGCGAACACATCACATCAAAGCACAATTGAAGCGATTCATTTTTCGCTGAGTCATAGCACTTTTAAATAATTTTTTATTAGTTTTAAAGCTAAATTCAGCGTCATAGAAAAATACCAAATTTTAATCAATTGATAAAGGAAATTGATTGTCGGTTAAGTACATAGGTGATTTCTGAGAAAACAGCACTGTACAAAAAATTAAGAGAACTCGTCAAGATCAACCTCGTATTTTGAACCGTCCATTTAATTTTTTTACTTTTCCTTCAATTAATCTGAGTGTGATTGAAGGTGAGATTGAACTTGCAATTTTTTCATTCAGCAATTAGTTAAAGAAAAACGAAAAATTCCTTCTACTCGTTTTTGTTTAATTTTGACATAAAAACTCGCCATTTTTAATTAAACAAGTTCCTCCCCATATGAACTAATCATGGCTGCGGTTAAAATTCCTTTCCAATAATACCCTCCGCTTGCTCTTATAGGTATTCGCTATGGCCAAGGTAGTCTACTGTGCCATCTGGCATCATTCAAAAAAAATACATGAACTCTGCCTACTATCCGAATTACGGCACAAGCAATGCAACGGTGGACAACAATTATCTGAGGAAGATCTTAAATCGCTAATACAAGATAAAAAATCATGTCGATTGATTTCATCAGAGGGCAAAGTACTATCTGTTGCAGTTTTGAAATCATCTGGTAAGTAGTTAGAAGCTGATAGATAAAGATACTACAAATATCAAATAAACAAAAGAATCAATGAAAAATATAATTGGGAATTCAGTAAAAACACCAACAAATAATTTGCTATACGAATTCGATGAAAGAAACTGAAATCCATCTTCCTTTCTTTAACCCTTCCTAGCGGACAGAATTTAGAATTGAACTCTCAAATATTTCCAGCAATTGAAAGAAAGTTAAGAGCTCGTTTAGAGTTGGGTCAAAGTCGGATTCTATTGTTCTTTCTCAACTCTAAACTTTCGGAAAGAGTTTAGAGTTGATATATTGTAATTTAATTTAAAATGTTTAAAACCTGTCTAGGAGGAGAGCAACATATGTTCTCTCAACTCTCAATTTTCGGAAAAAGTTTAGAGTTGAGAAAACATGTTGATCCCCCCTAGAAAGTTTATAAAGATTTGAAATTTAATTTGAAAACATCAACTCTAAACTCTTTACGAAAATTTAGAGTTGAGAGAATATGTATTGCTCCACCCCACTCCGAGAAAGTTAATAAACATTTTACATTGAATTTGAAAAAATCAACTCTCAACTCTTTCTGAAAGTTTAGAGTTGAGAAAGAACAATTGAATCCGACTTTAACCCCAGTCTAAACGAATTCTGAATTTTCTTTCAAACTGTGGAAATTTTAAGGTCTTAACGAACTCTAAACTAACTCGAATTGGTCTGCTAGGGACTTTCACAAACAACTTACGAATTCTACTGGACGTTCGAGACAAATTATATAAGAAAGTTGGTAATTTATTCTACACTCATAGCCTGGCTTAGTGATTATTATTAACAAATGAATTTAGTTGGTAGCAGGAGTCGATCTGTTCTTCTCAAGTGAACATTCGGATATAGTTAAGGAGTGCACATTTGAGGACCCTCCATTAACAATATATATACTTTCACTTTTTAAATGCGTCAGTCGTTAATCATTAACGAATATGGCCTGTCCCAGCCCGATTGACTGACTCGCGGGACCTCATATTTATTGTTCTCCAACGAATTCACACAATGTATAGACTTCCTCGATGAGATTTTCCAATTTTTTTCTCTGTTGCTTGTATGGTTCGCAAGATGTGGTCATGTGAAGTTTCAGAATTTTTATAAATCGGATTGTTTTGAAAAAATCAAATTTCTTGACTGAATCATTATTGTTTGATAGCTCAGTAATGAAAATTAATCGTCCGCAAAAGATTTTTTCGAATAAGTTATGATAAAAGAACTGAGAACGATTCAATTTTTTTTTCCTTGCAGAACGTTAAAAATATTTAATTTATGGCTAATTTCTCAGTACATCTTGAAAAAGCAGTCATTTTATTATAATCACGGTTTTCACCAATTTTTTTTGCAATTTTCTCCAGAAATACATATGCAAAACTACCGAAAGGAATTATCTGTGAAATAATTATGATGCAAAAGACGAAGGAATTAACTTGAGGAGCGCTATACCGAAAAACAAACGATTTTTTTTCAAGTTCTTTCAATAATGAGAAAATTGTGAGAAAGTTCAACTAAAACAATTATTCTAAGACACTAACACCATAGCGATCATTGGCGAAAACGTTAATAGATTACAGAATTTGAAGAATATAATCATTACTCATTTTCTATCTCATTATCCCTCTCTGTTATATTTCCGTGAAACACCAGTTAATAATGGATTCTTTTCAGAAAACAAAGAAGATATTGATAACTACCTTGTGGCATCAAAACGATTACCAAAGCCACCTAGACAGAGTTTCGAGCTAGTCGAAGATGAGATTCCTGTTGCAAAAAAAAAGACGAAAATTTCAAAGAAGCAAGCCGTGATGGGCAGGCAACGAAAGGCACTTTCTTATTCTCGTGTACGTATAATTGCACCATTCACCTTACAATTAATTTATTTCATAACTATATCGACGCCTTGAGTATAATGTTCAAATAAAAAAAATATCCAGTGACTTGGCTGAAGGCAGAGAGAAAAATACACAGCAATCCCGAGAAACTTGGTTGAAGATATGATACATGTCTTGTTCAGGTCCACCATTCCATTCTACTTGTTTTTTATTCGATTTTATGGGGTTCCTTCACCTGATTAAGGATCTGTTCACCCTTTTATCCGGAAACAATTAATGTAGGAGATATCACATTTAATACACCATTTTTTCTTTTTTCTTTTTTTTTCTTGTTTTTGGTGGACCTGAACTATAAATTTACGGACGATATTACTCAAGTCGAAAAATTTCGGTGGTTTAAGTCCTTAAAGTAGAAATCACCCAAAGTTCAGTAGGACTTAGTCATATAGTTGCATTCTCCAACCATTAATCGACAAATGACGAATCACTTGGTATACTTTTCTTCCTCATACGAGTTATTATCACCTGTTGGTTACAGAAAAAATATTAAATATCGAACAACGCCGAATGAGGTATTTTGTACCATATTGTAAGTCCCACATGCACTGAGAAATATGTTCATTGTTCTGTCGAAGATTTGTCGTTGTTCTTCTTACGGAGACTTGAATCAATTTCTCTGTCTAAATATTGATAAGTATATTGTTTTTGCAAGACAAATAATAGCATCATAAAAATTAATAAAAATCAGAGATGTATTCAACCCGGTTGAATTAGCTTAATGAGTCGTGCCGCCCATTTTCGAATTTTTCTTTTTTTGATTAGATAGGAGAAAATATATATTTTAAAAATTTATAATGCATACTCTCAAGCTGTGTCCAATTTAGTGGGAGTTTGTCTTTTGTTTCCCGTACTTCTGATGGAGTTCCAAAAACATTTGAACTTTTAAAGCGCGTAGGATTTTCGTATTTAAACTCGAAATATATAATTTCAGCCTAAAACCAAATCAAGCCTTTACATTAAATGGCCACTTTTTCCGCGTCTTATCATCATTTCTTTTTCATGTGGAGTTGAGAACCTCCTTCTAAACCCAAAATTAATCATTTTTTAATGCTTTTTTTTTACAACCGATGTGAATACACGAGCAGCACGGTGCCAACCAAGCTAGTCGACTAGTCCGTCGTCGAACGCTAGTTGAAAACGGTTAATATCATGATTCCCTTTGATTTCTCAATATTATTTAATCTATTTTTGTTAATTCATTACATTTTACTCACATATTCAAGAATTCTGAAATTTCACCGCATTTTTCAAAGAAGTGCCACTGCGCGCTATTATTATTATGTATTATTATTATCCTTAGAACGTTTAGAAAATAATGGTCTTTTAAGGGATTATTTCTATCTGTTATTCCGAAAGAAACCTAATCATTCCAAGCAGGCAAAACAGTTTTTCCTGTATTATCTGAAATTGCGGATTGTACGATGGTGCCGAATACTCGCTAAATACGCCCGGGCATTGTAGAGTGAATTCGGCAATGCTGGCCTAAATAACACATCGGTAAATGCCCGCAGAAATAACCAGAGTCACAATCCCCATGCAAAAATTTATTTTAAAAATATACAATTTCCGCCAATTCCGTATATTTTATAAATTAAAAAAAAAAACAATTTCATATATTTGTTCATGTAAAGTGGACCAATTACCATTTTTCAGTATTTTTCAAAATATAAATTTCTTCGCACAGGAAGTTCCCATCAAATTAAGGTTGGGTGAAAGTAATACTAGTGAAAGGATAACAAATATCACAAGACTTCGTGAAGTATACAATCTAGACAATTTCCTCAATTCTGATTTCGGCCAATCAAAATGCAGTATTCGGGGTTACGCGACAAGTTTCAATCCGGCGCCGGGGAAATTATAGATATAGATTGATAATTTCCTTGCAGCCTGTCAATTTTTTTCGACAAATTTGAGAGGTATTCCTCACTTCATGTTGGTGAAATGTGTCCCGTAACCCCAAACCGCACCCTGATCGGCCAAAATCAGAATTTAGGAAATTTCCTCCGAATACCCCTCGACCTCCAAAATTCATCGAATATTTCCCTCAAGTTTTCCTGCATATCAATGATCGGGATCAGTTTTTCAATAAAATCCCTCGCGCATCGCGTTCGTGATTTTAATCTGCAAAACTGCTCCCTCTCGTTGTTATGCAACAAAACATTCGGGAAATATCCGATAATTTTGGAGGTCTTGGGGTATTATAGCTGATAATTGTTTCAGTTCTTTTAGATCTTTTAATTCTATTATGTCGATTAATGCTGACATCAATAGGTTTAGAGTTAAAAACATAGTGAACACAAGACCTAAAATCTTCCAAATGAATAATAATTTGATAACCCATGTGGGAATTCGCTACTTTCATCTCTGCGGTAATTGGCTGCCATGTTATGGATACCCAGATGCGTTTAGGAAGTTTTAGAAGTATTAGTTTTGGGTAGTATTAGAGTCGCATCCAATGTGCGATACAATAGTGCGAAAGCATTATTTGAAATTGGTCGTAACAGTCTTTTTTTCGTGGATATTTTACCAATGTTTTATCTCTTCCCTCCGTAGATGACGAAGTTCATGTTACCTAGGTTAAATTCTACAATCTGATGTTGAATTACATTTTTGTTTATTAACAAATCACAGGAGAAAGCTGTACGAACTGCAAATTCCGTCAGGAGCTTAGACTCTCTTGTGATGACTACGGGATTTGTGAGTATTAGTTGCCACTATATAAAACCATTCTTCAACAGTTTCGTCTTCAGTTTCAACGTCTCATTCAATGTACAATTTGCCAGTATTTATTAGCAACTGCATTTTTACTGCAGCGTTTTCATTAGGTCCCAACGGATCATTTGATAATTATTGAGGATTATACATGCGAGTATACACACAATTTTCTAGTTATGATTGAATGTGAGTCTAGAGATGTTAAAAGATCAACATTCAATGAAAAATTGCAAACCGATTTTTATATTGATTAGAGTTAGATAGGTTTCTCGAAAAGCTAAATATGAAACTTGATCTAATCTAGGGGAACTGAAGGATATCGGAGGATATATTGCCATATTATAACATCAGCAATTTGCTAAGAGGAACAATGGAACTGCAGTATTACGAGGAGATGCGTCACCTCACTTTGCTGCCGAGTTATCAGATTTGGCGACTAACCAAAAATTTAATTGTTTGCCTCGGTGTTTTGAAAATTCACACAACACCGAGGATACGACTTTAATGATTGACTTTTTGATCAAACTGCATTTTTTAACTGGAAAACAGCACCGTTGGCCTTATCTGAGCAATTTAATTTTTGATTAATTGCCAAATCTGGTAACTCTGTTCTACGCTCCTATTCCCATTCTCTATCATTTCTAATTATGGACCCGAGGTACGAAGGAGTGATGGAGTTAGGATTGACTCCCTTGAAAAATAACTAAGTTTCTAAGGCTGAGAATGCCAGTCTTGATCGAGACATTGATAACTCTCCCAACAATTTTGGAGCCACATAGTTGATTACATGAGTATACGTAGTTCATAAACGTAATGATTATTTTAAAAAATTGATTTCCAGTGCTCCGTGTTTCTTGACAGTCAGTCATTTCATTAGTTTCCTAAGTCATGCTTTCAATTGTGGCGATCGCTAAATGTCTGAATGCCCTATTGGCCATGCTGTTGCTTCTCACATGCAAGGCTTTCTTTCGGTATTCATTGACAATTTATGGTGTGGAATATTATTATTACCCCCGCGATGCTTGACCCTCGCTGCATACGACCGTCATTCGAAACTCGTAAAGTATGACTCACACAATATATAAACTCAGCAATGATTCGTTCTAGTAAGGTATAACCCCGAAAATGCTCGATTCCTGAAACTTATGATACAGGCGAAACATAACTCCCATGAATAATTTAATTATTGATAAATTATCCTGTAAGAAACGTTTGATTTTCAATTTGATATTTCAAGACTGGATGACCCGTAATCAAATGAGACTTTATTTCGTTGTGGATCATTCAGTCTTGAATAATCATACATGGATATGGATGAATATGTATGGATCAAGCTCTAACTAATATATATTTCAACAATGAAAACCCGCGTAAGGCGATTCTGACTACGCAGGGTCGATATTCAACCTTGGATGAGTCTGTTTTCTGACATTTATATTCTCCTGATCTACTCATTTTTCCTATATGTTATCAATTTTTCGCACATATTTCATATATGTATAACAAAATCACTGTAACTGTTAAGTCGTGTACTACTTTAAGGTAATACTTTATCATCTTATTTAGACCATGCTCTCATTTCCTTATTTTTAAATAGACCGTGCAACCGTGATTTACATTTTAACTTCAAACATAAATTGCGCTTCAAAAGACGAAAAATACGGCTTCTTAAACGCATTTACATTCAGATTTTCCTGTGTGTGGAACATCCGATATACATTTGACACCATAACCAGTTTTGAATATTCATTTCTCTAGGAGAGGATGCCCGACAATGAACATGGTATGGACTTGTTACAAAACATCACCGAAACCAATTCTCCGACTCCTGAGGGACCTAAAACTCGTGCGAAGAAGAGGAAGCAGACGACGGAGAGCAGAGCAAGTTACAACCCTAAAAAATTCAAGGGGAACGCTCAAGATAATGAGAGACAGCTCCATAAAAACAAAGAATTAAAGTGCAATCAGAATGAAAAAAATAGTGACCCTCCGTCTCACGAATTGAACAGAATATGTTCAATTAACTCTTCAAAAAACCTAATCGACAAGCCAAATAAGGGTAGCTTTAATAGCATCTCAATTACTTCCGTGCAAACAACCAGTCTGGTGAGTCCTGAAGAACAGGAAACATTATCAGGCAGCGACAATTCCCTTGACAGAGAAATTAACAGAATCCTCGCGTATAGAAAGCCCATAAAACATCCATCCAGGAAAAACGACGACAATGAAAAATTTACTTGCAAACCTGGAAAATATCTACATGATAAAATCTCCTCAACTCGTCCAAGCATAAGGCAGAAACTTTTGATGAAACCCAAAGTAACAAATATCTACGATTTTACAAGTGATGAAATTGTCACCATGAACAAGCTGCGTAATAATCGCGTGGTAAGACTCAGGAATGCTAATGAGGAGGCTAACAAAGGTAAAGGGGCTAAAAGGGAGGACGACACTTCTGCGCAATACTCAAAATTTGATAAATTGAAGATAAACGCTGTGACAAATGTTGAGCCGGTAGAGATTGCGCTAACCGACGAGGAGTTACCCTTAACAAAGTCATCGCTTGATTTTGAAGAAAAGGAGCCAAAGGTACTTAGATAATAGATGTATTAGAACAATTTCTTAAGGATATGCAAGTACTTTGCTAAAGTTAGGAACTTTTTCTCCAATAAGGTTGCGTCGCAACTAACAAGATAACATCTGGCCATCACCATGATTTTTCGGATTTTTTATTATTAAATTAATTTTCGAGAGAATCCTTTGAACAAATATTGTGCACAATATTTCATTTCATTTGACAATTGAATTTCGTCGGTCTCACCTAAAAGGGCCAGACGGTAATACTGCACACTTATTCCATATAACATTTTCAGTTCGGTCCGAATAATGCATTAGACGGACATTTGCCGGACGCTATGAACATAGGGATCTTATATTTTGCTTTTTCTCCAATAAAGCTCATTTGATTCTCTTTCACTTTTCGATATAGACCCATGGACGCGCCTCACACTTAGAAAAATGGTTGACTAAATTTTAATCTACGTTAGTGGTTAATATTGCAAATCTCTTCATACCTGCCTCCGTGCGGTATTATTCAAGTGAAAATACCAAATGAAAAACTTTGAAAGAAAAAAATCGAGAACAGTGAGCTGTGAGAACAGATCAGTATAAACTGTGCATTTTTGTAACTTATGCATCATTTGAAATTAAGTCCGGATATTCAGAGATCGTTGCTTGATAGAAATGGCAATTCCTGATTTGTAACTTTGTTTATTTTTCAGGATCAACGTGAATCGTCCGTGGGAAAATCTCATGTAGGAGTATCTAAAGAAAGTAGGGACCATGCAAGGCATAAGACGGTAGACGGAGAAAGGGTACGTACAAAATGTTTTTTGTTACTTGTGCCAATTAATTTATGGAGGTAATAATGTTGCTTCTTCTTCTTCTTCGTGGAGGAGTTGTGTAACTTTTTTTTTTCGTCTCAATTTACCTGGGTTATAACGATTGAAAATTTATTGCTGGATTTCGAAATTCAATATGGAATCTATCTTCAATTTATAATAAATTGGAAGACTAATTGCTTGTGTTACATAATATTCCGTGCAGAAAATTGCGGAATTGAGATAACGCAAGGGATTTCCGTGTAGTGTGTAAGGCTCAATAATAATGTTAAAATCAACAGATATATTGAGTCCACAAGAAGGCAGAATAACAGGAAGTTATTCCAACATATAGTGGCTGTCTGTATATCAGATGGCTGACCGAATAAGTAGGTAAATACCGGAACAATCACTATACATAATCCACCAACAATAATGCATTTTGAACAGATTAAATGACGCTGAACATGCCGTTTTTTCTTCTATTTTTGGAGGGCTTAATAATCATCTCTCCGTGATGGTGTATACATGCTTCTATTGCATTCTTTTCGTGTATGCATCGCATGGGAATTCTGAAAATTTGCAACGTTTCCATTGACGTGGGGAATTTTTAGTTCTCGGTGTTCAGATAAAATGATTGGGTTATAAAATTTCACGGAAGAATTACACTAGAATTAATAGTGTCCATTGATTCCATAATGATCATTAACCTTTGCAAAGACGAAATTCTTTGAAATTTCAGTGGAACAAAACGTAAAAACCCAAAGAACCAAAATAAATATCATCAATAGTACTTGAAGTATTCAATGAGTCTGTAAAAGCACACAAGCTGTCCATGAGGAAATTATTAAAACAGTATGGAGCTAATACCATCGACATCTCGAGCTCAGTGCTTAGCTGACAGTTGTTGCACCTAAACTTTGGGTTGCCAGTATTTCATTCAAGAAAGTGATTTGAAAAAAAGAACAATTAACATAACGAATTACCGTTTAGAAAGACCTAGTCTACTCGACGAGTAGTTGTATTGGATTTCTATCGGAACTCTAATGAAAATTTTACTAGTTTTGCGCGATTTCATTAACTAACTCTGCTATTTCACTTTACTTTTCTCACTAAAAAAAAAATCTCGTAGAAATCATTAAAGGGAAACTATTAGAATTTCAGCTTTCCAGAAACTTTTTTCTCTGCACACTTTTTTTATAACCATTTTTATAAGCAAATATTTCCTATTTCAGTTTGCTTTTCTCTATATGAAATAATTGCATAAAGGAGCCGAGACAATTTGAATTAAAAGTATATTGATTTTTTTTCGAAACTATTTGATATTGGACATTGTTATTGAAGAACAGGCACGAATAATCACCGCCGAATTTCTCGCATTTTCTACACAATGTGTCTTTTTCAGCTAAGTTCCTTTGAGTTAGTTAAAATACTCGAATTTTATTGAGCCGATAATTTCCTCACATTCTCATCACATTGTTTTTTTTCAATTTCTCAAATTCCCGCTTTCACTGTTTCTTTTGATATTAATTTGTTTATAGTCCAATTTTTTCCTCATATTTATTTTCCGTTGAATTTTGTCTTAGCCAGATTCTAACCTTCATTTCTCTTCATCGAGATGACATCTCTACTGTCAGGGTTTCCAACCGACCTGAAAACCTGAAAAAGTCCTGAAAAGTCAGGAAATTGCAAAATTTTTCTGAAATGTTCCAGTTGACGTTTTTTTCCTCTTCAACATGACCTTCTTTAAATGTCTCTAGCAGGGGGATTCAAATTTTCTTTCTTTAATCTTTTTTTAGTTTTTCACCAATAATTGCTGAATTTCTGTATGCGAATGTTAATAGCAGTCCGTACGTTAATCTTGTTTCTGTACATGGAACAGTACATATCCACTCAACCATTGAAATTGCTTCGTGTTTCAAAATTTGTAATTGGCTTTCTCAACATTAAGTATTATAGAAATGAAGAATTTCTGTAAATACATTACATCAAGATTCGTGAAAATAACTGAATTTTTAAAAAACCGATCTTGCAAATGAATCAACAGATTTGAATAAGCAAAAATGGGTTTCTCGTTGGTTTTCAAACGCATTCTGAATGAAATTACTCTATTATGGCGAAAACATTCAATAACATATTTTTACATTTATTTAATATTCAAATTCCATTATTGGCAATTTGAAAATTGATTTTGATCATTTTCGGAATGGTGATAATAATACTCAATTTTTCCACACCAACTTAAAGTGAAACTCCGAAACTCCCATGGTGGCCGATTTGATATGGAATGTCCTGTACGTTCTGCAAAAAATGACTTTTATTACCGTAATATACATTTTTGATAGGGCTGACGCCGTGTGGGAAGTCAGTTTCTGCCAATTGTGTCAAGTCTTTTGATTCAAAACTCCAAAATTGTTAAAAATAAACAGGCCTTCTTCTGATGTTGAGTCAAAAAAACCAGTTATAATAAACTTACGAAGATTCATGATTATAAGATGAAAAATTTCCATTAAATAAAAAATGTTCTCAGTCCCATTATGACTAGATAATTCCCTATAATGACGATGAGCGGCTTTTCAATATAGAAGTTCCTTATTTTGATTCAAAAAAGTATTTTTTTTCCATTGTTACTCTGGAATTAATATGAATTACCTACGTATACATGTGAGTCGACCAGGCCGAAACATAAATATTTGCAACCTGAAAACATAATTTTAGATGACACAGGTAGACATTCTACCTCCTTTTGTCCATTTGGTTACGATGTCATTTTATTCCGGTCTTTCCTACAGAATAAATATGTAAACTCAGTATTTCATCTCCGAAAGTTGTTTCTGTATATGAAAAAACTTCCTTTTCACTTGGAAAAACCTGCAAAAGTCTTTAAAATAAATGCTGACTTACGATGATTTACGGATGAGCAATTTATGTATTGCTCAATTAATATGTTGTCGTGCCATGGGTTACCATTTCGTTGCATACTGATAGAAGGATTAGGTTAATATTACACAGGCTCGTTAAATATATCCGAATGGCGCAGTTAAATAGTACCAACTTAATCGAGCGCTGATAGTTACAGAACGACCATGTTAGAAGTTTAGGGTGGGCCAACTGGACGCTTCTTTTTTTTATATTCATGTTTTTAATAGGGACTTGTCAAAATCTTGAAAAGATTCTCGTGAAGTGATGTTAAAAACCAGATCGGGGATTTTAACTCAGTAAAAGCCCTGTGTTTCCGTTTTTCACCTCTAATCGTCCGTTCCCATTTCTCTTGCGGCACCACCGTGAAGTATTACTTCACAAAAGCGGTTTTCTGCTGTATGCTCTTCTACTCTTTTCATCCAATGTACATCCTCCTAACCTGCTAAGATGTTGTTTGTGACTAGGACGTTCCAAACCGATTTTTCACCGATACTGCAACCTCAGTCGGCGTATCCACGATATCCGTGAATGGAGCGAAGGATAAGCTCGGTGGGGCGTAACACCTGCAGTATGACAATAGTATTTTATCTGACGAGTAGGGAAATTACATTTTCTCCTCGGAGCACAAAAAATTAGACTTGCCTGTCGCCTCGCGGGAGGAAAAACTAACAGTGCGCCCACGTCACAGAGGAAACACTCTCCTAATCACCTTATTTCACGGCTCTCTTATTTCACGTCTTTGGATTACGAAACTACTATTTCGGTGCTTTTTATGTTTCCTATCTCAACTAAAAGCAAGAGTCCAAACCCTTCTGATACTTATCAAAACTGTCGTTAACCACGCGTGATCGAAATTTTTAATGTT